AAAGTCAGAAGGGATTCTCAGGAGGTAAAAGAGACGGCGGGAAAATTGTACTTTCAGACTCGCAAGATTCTCTTCTTTACGATAAAGTAGAATGAGCCTATCTGGTCTACCTGGCAGGGCTAACCCAAGAGCCTTTTTAAAAAAATGTCACTCACCTTAACTTGTGTCATGAAAACAAAAGAAGATCTTGCAAACTGTTAAAATAAGAATACTTTTTATCCTGTAACCTCTTTCTTTCTTTCTTTTCTCAAAATTCTTTCCCTCTCTTCCTCTTCTCTCTTCTTTCTTTCTTTCTTTTCTTTCTTTTGCTTATTTGTGTATGTATTGTGACTGGTTTTAATTGTAAAAATTAATAAATTATATTTTAAAAAAAAATGTCACTCGAGGATAGAAAAGGGGACAGGAAACCAGGCCCTGCTCAAGTCGTTTTGCACCCGAATCGTCTGAAACCGATCCATCGTTTGGAGTGCAAAGCGCGTTGCCCATGTAAATGTGCGCCGGCCCAGAGCTACAGTTGCCCTTGTGGGCAGAGCTCTTACAAACAAACCGAGATTCTAGGCTTGATGCCGGGAAGGTTTTTTTTTTGTTTTTTTTGAAGGAACCTTTGTGGTTTGATCCAAAACTTGTCCGATTCACTTTTTTTCTGTTGGAACCATGCAAGAAACATCCCTCTGCTAGTCACATTTTGTAGATGGGACTCTCCGACTCGGCTTTGCCATCTGTTGTCGGGTTGGTTGGTTTGTTCCCTGTTGCCCAGACGTTGCTCTGTCTACCAGCCGTCTTGAAATCTGTTTCTCTGTTCGACTCACCGGCAAGTGTGCAGCTGGGGTTGTGCAACTGCTCGCTTCCCCAAAATGCCTGTGCCCCCCCCATCCCTTGTGCTTTAGTTGAGAGGCCCTCCTCTTCCTCCTCTTCCTCCTCCTCCTCTTCCTCCTCCTCTTCCTCCTCTTCCTCTTGCCCCTCTTCCTCTTTGTCTGATTCTTCTCCTCCTCGGTCTCTTTCTCCCTCTGATCCTCCTCTTCCTCCTCCTCTTCCTTCTCCTTCCCCTCCTCTTCCTCCTCCTCTTCTGTCTCCTCTTTCCCCTCCCCACTCTTCCCTCTCCTCTTCCTTCTCTTCCCCCTCCTCTTCCTCCTCTTCCCCCTCTTCCTCCTCTTCTCCCTCTTCCTCTTCCCCCTCTTCCACTTTCTCTGATCCTTCTCCTCCTCCGTCTCTTTCTCCCTCTGATCCTCCTCTTCCTCCTCTTCTTTCTCCTATTCCCCCTCCCCCTCTTCCTCTGATTCTTCTCCTCCTCCTTCTCTTTCTCCCTCTGATCCTCCTCTTCCTCCTCCTCTTCCTTCTTCTTCCCCTCATCTTCCTCCTCCTCCTCTGTCTCTTCTTCCCCCTTCCCCTCCCCACTCTTCCCCCTCCTCTTCCCCCTCCTCTTCCCCTCCCCCTCCCCCTCTGATCCTTCTCCTCTTCCTCCTCTTCCTCTTTGTCTGATTCTTCTCCTCCTCCGTCTCTTTCTCCCTCTGATCCTCCTCTTCCTCCTCTTCTTTCTCCTCTTCCTATCCCACCCCACTCTTCCCCCTCCTCTTCCTTCTCCTCTTCCCCCTCCTCCTCTTCCCCCTCCCCCTCTTCCTCGAATCCTTCTCCTCCTCCTTCTCTTTCTCCCTCTGACCCTCCTCTTCCTCTTCTGTCTCCTCTTCCCCCTCCTCACTCTTCCCCCTCCCCCTCTCCCTCTGATCCTTCTCCTCCTCCTTCTCTTTCTCCCTCTGATCCTCCTCCTCCTCTTCCTCTTCTGTCTCCTCTTCCCCCTCCCCACTCTTCCCTCTCCTCTTCCCCCTCTTCCTCCTCCTCCTCCTCCTCCTCTTCTCCCTCTTTCTCTTTCTCTGATCCTTCTCCTCCTCCTTCTCTTTCTCCCTATGATCCTCCTCCCCTCCCCTTCCCTCACAGCAAACGGAAGGTACGGAGAAGACATGTTTGCCTCCATGAGGACAGGTGGCTTGCTGGATTTTGTGCCCTGGGAGCCGGAAATCTCATCTCCGGCCAAGGCCTTGTCACCTTGTCAATCATCCCTCAGCAGGGATTATGACAAGAAGCTGCTCTGTCGGATTTACTCGGGTGGTATTCTCTGCTGACCCTTCTTAAAACCCCAGGGGGTCTGGAAGGGATTGGGGGCTCTTCCAAAGCCCCCCTCCCAAGTGCATTCAGTTAGTCCTCGACATGAATGCGTTGGCGAAGTTGGCAGGCTCCGAAGGAGGATTTCCTTTCATGGAAGTTGGAAGGGCCTCCCATCTGGAAGAGGCGTTAAGAAGCTGAGGAAACGATTGGTGGTCTCGTCCGTGGATGAAACCATTGACATTTTAATCTGCTTAATCAGCCTAACACAGGGGTCTCTGACCCTGGCAATGTTAAGACTTGTGGACTTTAGCGCCCATAATTCCTCAGGCAGCCATGCTTGAGGACTTCAACTCCCAGAATTCCTCTGGCAGCCATGTTGGGGACTTCAACTCCCAGAATTCCTCAGGCAGCTCTGCTTGGGAACTTCAACTCCCAGAATTCCTCAGGCGGCCACGCTTGTGGACTTCAACCCCCAGAATTCCTCAGGCAGCCATGTTGGAGACTTCAACTCCCAGAATTCCTCAGGCAGCTCTGCTTGGGAACTTCAACTCCTGGAATTCCTCAGGCTGCCATGCTTGTGGACCAACTCCCAGAATTCCTCAGGCAGCTCTGCTTGGGAACTTCAACTCCCAGAATTCCTCAGGCAGCCATGTTGGGAACTTCAACTCCCAGAAGGAGAAATCCTGAGGAATTCTGGGAGTTGAAGTCCACAAGTCTTAGCCTGGTGAAGTTTCGAGACCCCCTAGCCTAACAGATGAATTTAGGGGTTTTCCTGCATTCTCCAAAAGAAGAGGCAGACTTCTTTCTTCTTCTTCTTCTTCTTCTTTTATTCTTTCCTTAGTTTATTCTAGGGGGGGGACAGTTTCTCTCCCTTTGTAAACTGAACACATTTTCTGAAGCATGTTGCATGTTGCTTAAAATGAAATTATTACAAGGGAGGGGCTCATTTTTCGAGCAGCGTGAGTGGTTGGTAGGTTTTGTTGTGGCCAGGCCGACGGCTAATGGAGCTGGCGGCAGAGTCGGACAGTAGTGAGGAGGTTGGGGCGGAACCCAGGCCAGTCCTGGAGGCTGAGGAAGGCTCAGACGAGGGCTCTGCGCCAGAGGCAGAGATGGGGCCAGGGCTGTCTGACAGTCATCAGCTGGCTTCGGGCTCAGACAGCAGTGAGGCGGGGGAGCAGCTGGAGCCTCTTCCCAGCCTGCGCATGCACAGAGCTGCTAAAAGGAAAGAACAGTTACAAACTCAGGGTTGACGTGGGAGTAAGGCCACAGGTGGACGGTGGATGGATCCTCCCTGACGTCAGCTTTGGAAGCCATATTGAGACCAGATGCTCCCACGCTGCCACATTTTGAGCCTGGGAAAGTGGGAGGGGGGGAATGTATTGGAGTGTATGTAGTTAGACATAATAACATTCTTTTTCTAATTCAAGGTCATGTTATTTTGTGCAGGTGAGGGGAAGTTTTAAGTTGGGACGGATGTTGATTGGGGCATGTGATGTGATGATGGGTGCAGCGGGATGGATTTTGTAGTTTTTACTTATTGCAAGGAAGACCGGAACTTTCAGATTTGGGATTCCCCAGTTGTGCCAGTTACTATCCAAAATAAACTTTTGAGAAGATGTCTGTCTCGGAGTTAT